AGGTACTACATTATTCTCTGTGTAATTTCCAGGTGCATTGTTAAAATATCTGGGTAATCCCACTCCCACCACTGCACAACCTGAGTCTATGCATCACTGCCTGTAGCAGGTGAGTTCAGTCAAGTTTTTTGTGATATTGCCTGTTGAGTTTATTAGGGTTGTGGGTAGTTCATACACATGTTCACACCTGGAAGCTTCCCAGCACAGTACCACAGTTTTCTAGTTTATTATTGCACATTACAATAGCACCTATATTACTAATAATGTACATGTTAATGTAAAACACACACACAGTGGGTGTCTGACTGTATCCATGCATGTTTGACTGTCTGCAGGTGAAAACGTATCACTACTACCTGTCCCAAGTGAACCTGCTGCTACACAATCTGCAGGAGAGACATTGGTCCCGAGTACCACAACACAGTCTGCAGCACGTGAGTCCAGTTTATTATTGCACATTACAATAGCACTTCTCTTACTAATAATGTATATGTTAATGTAACACACACACACACACACACACACACACACACACACACACACACACACACACACACACACCGTGGGTGTCTGACTGTATCCATGCATGTTTGACTGTCTGCAGGTGAAAACGTATCACTACCTGTCCCAAGTGAACCTGCTGCTACACAATCTGCAGGAGAGACATTGATCCCCCACACACACACACACACACACACACACACACACACACACACACACACACACACACACACACACACACACACACACACACACACACACACACACACACAGACACAGTGGGTGTCTAACTGTGTCCATGCATGTTTGACTGTGCATTAGGGGTGTTGAAAATAATCGTTTCTACGATGCATTGCGATGCGGACGTGGACGATTCGGTATCGATGCAGGGACGGAAGATAATCGGTTATAGCGTAGTAACGTTGCTTCCTGATTTTCCGGCCGCGGCTTTACTATAACGTTTTTTTTTTCTGTCACTTTAATATCAAATCGGTCGGTGACGTAGAGATCAGGGAACAGACGTGACAGCGGCACAGCGGCACAGCAACACCAAACACGGAGCAGTCTGCTTTATCCACCAACACAACACCACCAGTCCAGAACCAACAGCAGAAGGACCCGCTCTGAATCACTCCGTGTCGCTGCGGCACAGGGATTTTTTTTTCCAAAAATAATCGCGTTACAATCATGTCAGGTTTTTGGTGGATTTAATTAAGTCTTGGATTGCAAAGTATGAATGTCCTCTAGCAATTTTCAGACGATACATACGTGTGTAAAGTTTGTGAAGACAGGAGGAAAAAAGCTTCCGCGATCACCGTCTCCTCTCCGTTCCTCCAAACCCCGCCCCCCCTGAATATAATGAGTGACAGGCTGATAGTGACCCGATAGAAACTTTATTATTCACTTAATCACTGAGATATAATGAAGCTAACTTAATCTCATACATTCATGGGATTTATGTAACAGTAAGACAGAGAATGTAAGTGTGCACCCACATGCAGTATCTTTGTTTGTATATGCTATTGTAAATACTCCTGTTGTCTGCTGTGTTCAGACTCAAGTCCTGTGTGTGATGCCACATTCAGGACATTCAGTGTCCTTTCTTTAACAGAAGACTGTTGCTAGAAGCTGCAGCTAGACTGCAGAAGCATTATTTTTTTGTTTTTGAGGATGGAACAACTTCACACACATAGGCTAGGCTAGACCTATACAATTCATTTATTTTGGTTTATAAATTAATGTCAAGACATTTATATTATTGATTTCTGAAGCACTTTCTAAATAATAAAAAGAGAGTTCATATGTATTTACTGCATGTATGCATTGATGAAAAATAAGCCATGTGCAGTAATATAGAAAATTGAGGATGCAACGCATTGGTATGAATCGTGATACATCGGGATATCGAATTGAATCGAATCGTTGACAGGATAATCGTAATCGAATCGTGAGACCAGTGAAGATGCACAGCCCTACTGTGCATGCAGGTGAAAATGTATCAATACCAATCCCAAGTGAACCTGCTGCTACACAATCTGCAGGGGAAACATTGATCCCGAGTACCACAACACAGTCTGCCGCACGTGACGCCACAAAGGCAGCAGCTGTTGACCCTGCCGACTGGCCATCCATGTCTGATAAGGTAAGAACAGAGTTTGTGAGCAGAGGACCCTATCAGGCAAAACCACACTTCATTTTTCCAAAACGACAGGATGGGAGAAGCTGCCACCACCAATACTTTTATAGAAAACTGGTAAATGGGGAAAGAATCAAGAGAAGCTGGCTATTGTACTCACAGAAAAACGACAGCCTTTACTGTTTTGCTGCAAGCTGTTCTCCCAGAAGGAATACAAATTAATCAGTGCAGGACTAAATTACTGGAAAAATTGCCACCAATTACTGAAAACACACGAAAACACTCCAGAACATACTAAACACATGGAATCATGGAAACAGTTAGAGTTTCGATTACAAAAGGGGCAAACTATTGATAGGACTGAGATGGCGCTTACAGACATAGAAAGGAAGAGATGGCGTGAGTTGGTAACAAGGTTGGTCGCCATCATTCAATCATTAGCTGAGAGAAACATGGGCCTCAGGGGAACATGTGACACACTCAACAAACCCAACAATGGCAACTTCCTTAAAGAAGTGGAGCTGATGGCAATGTTTGACCCTGTAATGAAAGAACACGTTGCTAAAGTCAAAAGGGGTGCAAGCCATACCACATATCTCGGAAAAAATATTCAAAATGAACTAATTGAATGTATGTAATTTAAGAAGGCTAAATATTATTCCATCATTCTGGACTGCACACCTGACATTAGACATACAGAGCAGTTATCAGTCATCTTAAGTATTGTTACAATGGAGGAGATGCCACAAGTTAAGGAACACTTCATGGGGTTCCTTGTTGCTGAGGAATCAACTGGCGAGAGTTTGTCATCCCTCATCCTGGACAGGCTCCAAGAACTGAACATCCCCTTTGAGGACTGTAGGGGACAGTCTTATGACAATGGTGCCAATATACGAGGGAAAAACAAAGGAGTTCAGGCCAGGTTACTTGAACTAAACCCGAGGGCACTATTCGTGCCATGTGGCGCACACACTCTCAATCTGGTGTTAGCTGATGCAGCGAAAAGCTCCCAAGATGCCACTGGATACTTTGGCTACCTCCAAAAGCTTTTTACATTGTTTTCAGCATCCACAAAGCAGAGATGTTCACAAGTCTTTTTTTGCAAGTCCAAGTCAAGTCTCAAGTCTTTGGTCACGAGTCCAAGTCAAGTCTCAAGTCTTTGTGGGGTGAGACTTGATCAAGTCTCATGTCATTGGTCACGAGTCCAAGTCAAGTCTCAAGTCTCTAAAAAATAAAAGTCTCATGTCTCTTCTGGTTGTAATAAGCCTTCTATTGTCTGCTGCTATCCAGTCTGTTAAGAATACTGCACAGCTATATCTAAGAAATTCAAAGCATTTACTGTATTATTATCACTCCTATATCTATTAGCATACAGTATCAGTACTGATTAGTTGTTTGTTATATGATCACTTTAAACAGGCTATTGCAATGCAATATGAGGAAAAACATCACACTTTAGCTAAATGCAAACAACTTATAAGCAAAACACTTCAGAATCAGAAATCAGTATCACAAATACTTTATTAATCCCCCGCAGGGAAACTGTGTTAAAAGTACTTCAAAGTAAACATTTGTTCTGTGCCATTTGCAACTAAAAAACTATTGCTGCAATATTATCTGAAATATACTGAACTGGTGATATTAAAACATGACCTGTTCCAAAAGAGATATCTACCATTAACACCATTTATCAGCCAAATGCTGGTAAATCATGCAAGTGGCTGGTACTGTATGTTGCACGCACCAGCCAAAAATAACAATGGCAATCGATTGAGTGGCTGGTAACATTTCAACATTCACTAGGCTAGCCATTTGGCCAGTGGACAAAAATGTTAAAATTTGACCTCTGCAACCGTATTGTTTAATTACACTGGGTCTCTAATTAGATCTTTTAAGTCTACTATAAATAAACATATTCCTCTATCCTCTCACTCAAACCCAGTATAATGGTAACCTGATAAACCTGTAACATTAACGTTACGTGGTCAACAATAAACCTGTAACCTGCCTATAAACCGACAGATGTATTTATGTATGTAACTATGTATTTTTCTACGTTTAACGTTAGCCAGTAGATGGTGGCAGCGTAACGTAATGATTAACGTTACCGACCTTTTTTATGTCATGTCAAGAGTTGGATGTCAACGCCACTCAACGCAAACAAGTGTGACAAGCAAACATTCACTAATCTTTTCAAATATTCAGTTACAAAGCTAGTAGCTAAGTTAACATTACATAGCTGATGCTGAGCTAAACATGTTTGCTAACCGTCCATATGCGTTAATGTGACTGACCTCTCCGGGTGAGTTTTCAAGTGCCTGATGACATTTGACGTTGTTGCACCAGCATCCTTGATTTTAATATTGCAGACTTTGCAGTGTGCGCTCCTTTTGTTGGTGCCGCCGGCGTTTTGTTCGAAGTTTTTATAGTTGAACCTAATTACAAGCGGTACAGCTGCAGGTGTGCGGCCTGTCGCCATGGTGTTACCATGATGTTAATGTTAATGTTAAAGGTGGGGTAGGTAAGTTTGAGAAACCGGCTCGAGATACACTTTTTGTTATATTCCATGGAATGCTCTTAACATCCCGATCGCCGGCCCGGCTAAAGTAACTGGATGGCCTACCTGCCTGTCAGCCTTCCATCGGGGCACAAACGTATCTCGTGCCCTCATTGGTCATGTGCGCGTTCGTGTGTGTTGGAGGAGGGGCTCTGTGAGGAAGTGGCAGATTTTCTCCGGTTGTGTATTTTCTAATTCTAGCGATCTCGAGCCGGTTTCTCAAACTTACCTACCCCACCTTTAATACGCCAAAAATAGAAAACACAATGATTGTTCACGAGTCCCAAAACACGAGTCCAAGTCGAGTCCGAAGTCTTTTGAGCAGGAGTCCAAGTCAAGTCTGAAGTCTCTGTGTGTGCGACTTAAGTGCGACTCGAGTCCGAGTCACAGACTCGAGTCCCCATCTCTGCCACAAAGCGCTGGGACATTTTGAAGAGCCATGTCACCACTACCTTGAAATCATGGTCTGAAACCAGGTGGGAGAGCCGGGTCAACAGTGTGGAAGCTGTGCGATATCAGGCTCAACATGTTCGAGATGCACTTTTGGAGGTGAGGGACAAGGCCACTGACATGATGATCAAAATAGAGGCACAGTCTTTGGCTGAGGAAGTGGGGTCCTACCGCTTCTCCATTTACACTGTGGTGTGGTACGACATCCTCAGTAAAGTCAAACAGGTCAGTAAGGTCATGCAGTCTGTGTCAATGCAACTTGACATCGCAGTTGACCTCCTGAGAAAGACAAAGGCCACCCTGGAAGACTACAGAGCCACTGGATTTGCCTCTGCTCAGATCAGGGCTAAAGACATGTGTGAGAACATGGATGTGGATGCTGTCCTCAAGGAGAAGAGGCTGAGGTCAACCAAGAGGCAGTTCTCTTATGAAGCACCTGATGAGCCAATGGCCAATGCCCTAAAAAAGATGGAAGTTACATTTTTCAACAGGGTGGTTGATGTTTGCATCACTTCCCTCAATGAGCGTTTTGAACACCTGGAAGAAGTTCAGGCAAAGTTTGGGGTGCTTGTCAACTTCCCCGAACTGCCCAGAAACGAGCTGACAAAGCAGTGTCAAACACTGAGCAACACCCTGAGCTCTGGCGGACAGTCAGACATAGATGGAAAAGAGTTGGCACTGGAGCTGATGAACTTTCCAACTCTCCCCTCACCCACAATGACCACCCTGGAACTGTTGGTGTTCTTGGAAAGGAAGAACCTGAGGGAGGTTTATCCTAATATGTGGGTGGCCCTCAGGATCGCAGTCACTATGCCAGTGACAGTGGCTTCAGCAGAAAGAAGCTTCTCAAAGCTGAAGTTAATTAAAACCTACCTGAGGTCTACAATGGTCCAAGAACGCCTCAGTGGACTTGCCATCATCAGCATTAACAGTGATGTTTCTCGTCAGCTGTCATATGAGGACGTTATCGATGACTTTGCAGCAAAGAAGTCAAGACGAGTGCAATTCTGAGTGTTTAAGTCAAACAAGTCAGTAAGGTATTTATTTATTATTACAATATGTGTGTTCAAAAACAGAAATGTAATTGTTCTTTTTTTGTATAAAACGTTTTTATGTATTTGTTAATATTTTTTCATTTATTTTATTTATTTATTATTACAATACGTGTGTTCTTTAAAATAGTTCTATAACTCCTTCTGTGGAAGCTACTTGTTTATTAAAAGATGTTTGTTGAATTATAACTAAAGCAAGTGTGGTTTTTGTATTTGTGGGGGAGTTGGTGTTTTCAATGTATACTATAGGACAGTAAACCAAAAATATCGTTTAAAAACTGGAGAGATAAAAATATGAATACATAAATGAATGTTAACTAGGTCAAATAAGATATGAATGAACAACAAAAATAAAATAAGTTACATTTATTGGCTATGGTAGGTTATTGGTTATGTTCACATACTCATTTGATTATTAAAATGTTAACTGATCTTTTTCATATGGGTGTTTTAGAGTTGTACCCCCTAGATCTAGTAGTAATTGTGTGCTCAAAGTGCACCAGATTGAAGCATTTTACCCCCGGACCCCCCTAGAGGATGTGACGTCCATCCCCCAATTCAAACATGTTCATACCATACTGAATACATTTGAAGCATTTTTGCCTATGTCAATAAGTTTCTGTTTTTGTAGTGTATTCGTCTTTTGTAGAGATTTTTAATTTATTCTTTATATATTCTATGGGGGGGGGGGGCGCCAGCTAAAATCTCGCCTAGGGCTGCAAATTGTCTAGAGCCGGCCACTATATTTGTTTAAGCACCGGATCGGCAAAACAGGAGAGTGTGTGCACCAGTCTGCCTTGATCTATGTATTCATGTCTGTGACTCTCACAGTAGCCTATCTGCTGCCCACAGCTGTTGTATAGAAGGAAAACCTCCTTCACTTCATGACATCTCTGCAGCAGCAGGAGGCAGCGGGAGGGTTAACTCAGCCTCTGAGAAGAGGAGCGTGCAGTGCCTTTCACACACCGCCTTCACTGTGTTTACCTTCAGAATCATAAGGCTAAAGAGCGACCACAGGCTGATGTGTTATAACCACACACACCTCTACACACACATGTTTCGTTATTGTTCCACTGAGCGGACCCGCCCCTTTTTTTTCAAACGCTCCCTTTTTTGGTCCATCCGCAGCGGTAAAAGTTGTTGTGCACTGTGATGATTCGGCTGTACCTTTAACAGGGTTGCCAACTTTGGGTACCTGGCTGGAGTGAGATTTTGATATCATGGGTTTAATTACACATATGCGCACTAAATGACTGCTATCGTGTCAGTAGCGGGACCTTAGCATGATATATATACAATATATACAAATACACAATATTGGACACAGACTATAAAGAGTGCAAAGTTTCATTCACTAATGAAAGTCAAACACCTGTTTGTTTCCACTGTTTTATTGTGTGCCTGTCGCGATAAGCAATTCATTGACTTATCGTACGATAAATAAAAATGAACTCGATAAATGTTTTCATTTACATGAGGATGTGATTAGCAGTTTGAAAGGATGTACTTGAATTATTATTTTATATTATCATTATGTCAGTGGTCTAAAATGATACAACGGTGCCGACAATATTATCGTTTACCCGGAAAATGTATCCAACAAAATGAATTATCGTTAGAGGCATGAAACACACAGACACAAACAAATCTACAGACTTACTCCAAACTGCCAAATATATTAATTAACACACTCTCACTCTCATATACTCTTTGACTCTATTTTGGCCTAGTAGAACAATGAGCAGCAGACTTTGACTTTTTATCATTTCTACTGGATCTCAGATCTGCGCATGCGCAATACGGGTCGGGGATTCACCAACCGGCTCCCACTGCTCTGCTGTCTGTTAACGTTGTTAAGAGTGGCGGGGGCGGGGAGGGAGCGGGTCGACAGCTTGAGCAGCTGTCAACTCAACATTGCAAATAACCAACCAAAAACGATCACCGGTTCATCTTGTTTTTGGCGTGAGAATAGTTTGGGCAGCGTGACATTGACAGTGAAAGCCTGTGTCACAGGCCAGATGCGTGAGAGTTGGCAACCCTGACCTTTAATAATGAATATTAAATGTTGTGAGGAAATCTTTCCACCAATAATTCCAATAAGTAATCCAAAATGTATTCACTTCAGGTTTACGAAAGTAACTGTAATCAGATTACTCGTTTTTCAAATGTAACGCGAGCTGAATGCAGTTACTTGATTTTTGTATTCTGATTACGTAACGCCGTTACATGTATTCCGTTACAACCCAACCCTGCCCCCGCATTAAGGAATATTCCTTCTTTTCTCATATGCACAAATCCTTTTCTCGAATTGATTATTTCTTCATCGATGCTGTTAGAAATTAAAATCAATGTTTTGATGGCATAATGTACCTTAAATGTACCTTTAGTTTAAATGCTGTTTTATACTGAAAAACCAGTTAAGCTTTTATTCCGAAAATCCTTCACCTCCGGTTAGCATTTAGCATGAGGCTAATATACCATTTCCTATAGAGGTGAATTTAGCAGCGATATGATATGATGTTGCACACCGAAACCTACTGATTTCAACACTACAACTATAGACGTCGAGATATTATTATTGTTGGATATTAAATGAAGGTACAGTTTATTTGAGTACGTTATCGTTTACAGATGTGGGTAGCATGTCACAACATTCGGAACGACCGGAAATCAAATTGCTGTGAAGGATTTCCTGTATTTTTTGGAGTATTGATTACAGCGTTTAGAATGTGTTAAATGAAAAGTCATGAAAGAGTTAAGGAGGAGAAAAGGCGTGTTTAGATATATATTGAATGTACAATGTCTGTATCTTGTGATATGCGTAACAACGGATATTAAATACGCGGAGAGCCGGCCCCCAGGGAGGAGCCAGGAGAGGCTATATAAACAACGAAACTTGAGGGGTTCGGCCTCTTTTTCTGCTAGCGGGGAGCCAGAGGCAGCTGCTTTTCTGTCAGAAAATATCCTGTTTGTGACTTTACCGCGCCTTTTTTATTAATTAAATTTGAAAACATCTCGGAGACTCCATTTAGTCTCCTTTTTAAGCTTCTCTTTCCTGGACGCGAGAATAACCATCACAGTTAACAATTGGAATGACCCCGACGTGATTCTCGTTGCACCGGGAGAAACTATACACGCGGCTGTTCTCCGGAGCCGCCGGCAAACCCGTTCGACACACAGAGAGCTCAAACTACGGTAAAGAAGAAGCCTGTTACGTCAAAATTCTTCAATAGTTTATGCAGAACAATCTTAGGACAACCAAATTTATAACAATAACAATCATAACACGTGGCGTTGCATTTTCACAAGCAGGGTGAGTTAAAATTACTTATTTTTCTTATATTTAACCCTGCATGCTATTTGTTTGTCTGTTATTACATGTCGGCGAGGCTAATCATTTCAATTGTTTCTTGTTACGTCTCAATTTAAACGTGAATGGTTTTAGGCCATTAATCAGTGGGGACTGGTTGAGACAAGAACAAAGTGGAGTGAGTGTTTGTGTTAAGGACAGTGTGAGGCTGTTTTTCTTTTTAAAAGTTCTTTGTGTGATGATGGCAATCATTTAAAGTGTTTCTTGTTACGTCCTAATTTAAACGTGAATGGTTCTAGGCTATTAATCAGTGGAGACTGGTTGAGACAAGAACACAGTTGAGTGAGTGTTTTAATTACAGCAAGGGGCTTTCTTATTAAAAAAAGTCCTTTTTGAGGAAAAGGCCTGAAAAGTTTGAAGCTTTCAGTGGTTGTTTTTCTGTTTTCAAACAGTCATTGCGCGTGGATTACGACGAGGAGTGCGACATTCGTGCGTTAGATAGACGATATTCTTCTGATAGTGTTTGCTTGGCGCCTTACTTGGTCCCATGATAGCGTGTTTAAACAGAGGAGATAACCATACTGGCTCTTAAAGTCAAAACATTACGTACACAGGTTGAAGGCTGTGACGTAAGGGTATAAGGCCCATTTATAATTGTAAATTACATAGAAATGTTATTTTAAACTACAGTGTTGTTTTGTGTTGAGAATTAAAAGATCACCCTCATTATTTCAACTCCGCTCTGAGAGCCACGAGGTGTTTTCAAATCCCTTTGTTCTTCAGGTCAAAGGTTGGAAAATCAGTTGCCATCTTGTCTTGTCCTCGTGTTTACAATGAGCAATGGCAGTCGCCATTTCGTGACATGCTAATTTGAAAGTACTCAGTCCTACTCACATGAGCCTAGGCACTCCATCTTGAGAAGGACAAATCATATTTCTTGGCAGAGTTGGAACTATAAAATAGACAGGTTATCTTACCATGGGAAGTTTGGTATTTGTAGGAGTCTGTATTTGAGATATTCTTGTTTGCAAGTGCGTATTGGCGGTTTATTTGAGATATTCTTGTTTGCAAATGTGTTTTGGCGGTTATGTGCTGTGTTGTTTAACCATATTCTAATTTTCTTCCCATTTTTAAGGAAATAAGCTTCTTCTTGTTAAAAAGAGGTCAGTTTTGCAACAGCTATCCCTAGTGGATTGAGCTGGAAATTACAACAGCGCACTCTGCTGGTAATACAGAATTATTACAAAGATACTATAACATTTTGAAGCTTGATTTTGAGTATTATGAATGAACACATGCGCAAATCGCCAGGACAGAATTACAAAGTGGTTTCTAATTAAAAGATGAGAAACTTTCAAACTAGGCTGTAGAATATTCAAACACCAATTGATTAAAGCTAACACAAATTATGACATTTACATAATTTCATACACTTTGGTATGCACTGTACACGGTAGATTTAGATTTTCACCAGATTTCTAATTTTCATATTTTAAAAGTCAAAACCATACACTGTACAATTTTTTATTTTATCATTTCAGATTTTAAAATGTGCATAATTTGTATCTTTTAATTAACTTTATTATTTTAAAAAATCATATAAAATAAAATAAAAAATCAATAAAATGAAAGCCCAGATTTAAAGTTAGGTTCGGATGACATAGGATATTACTGATCAGGAACGACGGTGCTAGTCAGAAGATTGGTGCTTAATCTTTGATAACTTAATAATATTCATTCGAATAGGAAGAGAGCATGTCACCAAAACAAACTAAGCTGGGACTAGACGCAGAGCCAGGCTCAACTGCAGATATCAAGGAAAGGGTAATAATCTGATCAGATGCTTTAACCTTTCCAATTAAAATAACTATATGGAGTGAAGATGAAGAAAGATTTATAAGAGTTACAAGTCTGATACTCCATCTGGAATATGCCAGCCTATTGGCACACAGCATAAATGTGGTCCGAGTAGCAGACCTGCCAGTGAGGGAAGACATAGCAGAAAAAACAAGACACC